CCTGCCAGTTTCCCAGCAGGGTCTGGGCTCACCTCCCCATATAGCCAGAGGCAGAATCGCAGCAGCAGCAATCAGTTAATTTAGTGAGTACATGTGTTGGGGGGTAGGGTAGGGTAGAATGGGGTCTTCTCTATTTTGGTAGAACTGGAGGTGGCTCAGAGCTCACGCAGCCTGACCTCCACATTGGAGCTGGCTGTCCAGTCAAGAAACGGGGCTCTTGCCACTCCTCAGAGTAGTCCATTCTACAGTCAGTCACCTCCAGCTGTTGACATTTTCCTCTTGGCAGCCTCTAACTTGGGTTGTGGGTTGTGGGTTCTGGGGTGGATAGACACTGTTGCTCCGGCCCAGCCCTTGGGACAAGAGAGACAGCTGGAGTGGAACAGGGGCAGGAAAAGCAATAAGTTAAGTTCAAGAAAGGCCAGAGCTGTAGCAGGATGGGGGAGTGAGTTTCAGGGGTCCCAGGCATCTCTGGCTTGATCCAGGAGGTGTTGGAAAGGAGGTGGCTGAGGCAGGATTCCAGGCAGGAGGAGGTTCAGAAGGCTGGGTTGTCAATGCCCCTGGGGACCCCAGAATGTTCTCCAGGTCTGAAGTTGTAGGGAGGGGGTGGGTCCATGGGGGGCAGGCCCAGGACTGGCTTCAGAATAATCTGCAGGGAAAGGAGGGACAGAGTATTACAGCCTGGCACTGGCGTCACCACCCATGTGCTGGTGGTGTGCCAGGGAAAGGGGTGACCCAGGTCTGGCGGCAGAGCCCTCCCCCAGGTAAGGAGGCCCTCCACTGTCACTGCTGCTCTGAAAACCGGGACGACAGGGAGATACGAAAGGCCAAGGAACAGAACAGGGATTAGGATAGACACCCACCTCACTGTAGGGAGGTGGGGGCTCCAAGGTGGACACCTCGACCCTCTCTGTGGGGAAGACGGTGGGCCGTTCAGGGGGCCCCGTGTCACCCATCGGGGGGTCCTGTTCCTGCCCTCTGCAGTTGTGACAGAAGTGCTTAACCAGGCCACAGATGCACATGATGGGCACGATGGTCAGGAAGATGATGATGAAGATCCTGGAGCGAGGAACCACCAACATCACCTGGAGCCTCCAGCCGTCCCCGCTGCATCTCCCTCCCTCCCCTCCCCTACACAGCTCCCCAGGGCAGGAAGTCCAGTCTGTCCTGTGTGGCCCAGGTCCCTCGGAGGGCTGTGCCCAGAGGAGCTGGCCCTGGGCTCACCTGAAGGGGCCAGAGAAAAACTCAAATTCCTCGCAGCAGGTGTCACCACAGCACGTGAATCCTTCAGGGCAGGGGCTGCTGGGGCAGAGAGGCTGTTACCAAGGTGGAGAGGCAGAAGAACCCCAGCCTCCCCAAAATGTACCCATATACTCAGGGCACGAGCCATGCCCTTTGTGGGGTAAGGGTAGGAGCTCCCTCTGGGCTCAGTGGGAGGAACCTGGGGCTGGGATCAGAACCTGGGTTTCAGGTGCATCTCACTACTAGCCTTGTGTACTTGTGCCAAGTTATGCTCCTCACTGGGCCTCACTTTCCTCATCTACAAAATGGGTGTAATGAATGTCATTCGGACCTCACTGGGCAAATGTGGGGACTGAGTGTTGTAGTGGAGAGAGGGGAAGAGGGGAGTGTCCAGGAGCTAACTGAGGAGGAGCGAGCCCTTGGTGTCCATACAGTAGGAGTGGGGCAGGAGAGTGTTCCTGCCACGTTCAGTGCTGACTTGATGGAAGCACTCTTCTGCCTATAGACTACCCACCTCCTCATGGTGCTCAGGCTTCCTGACATTTATATATTAAGGTAGCATACTGTTTGCCCCCTCTCCCAGGGTCCCCTCGGAGGGGAGATGGCCTGAGATCGCAGTAAATGGGAGGGGGATTAGGCTACAGAAGGCCCACAGTGTGAAACTCCCCCTGGGTGGCTGGTGGGGAGAGAGGGGGGGCAGAGTCTCCTTCTCTGGGTGGGGTATGGGGGGATGGTTTCTGCCTGGAAGGGGAGTGGGTGAGGGTGATGGATGAGGCGCTCCCTCCCATGAAGGCAGGCAGGACAGGTTTGGGATGTCGCCTCCCCAGTTTGGAAGTTGTAGCCCTAACCCCAGACTTACAAGAGGGCACATCTGGCTGCAGCCTGTGGAAGAAAAGAGGCAGAGGTTAGGGATAATAAACTCAGATGCTGCCCAGGTATCTGACAGCCAGCAGGTCCCAGCAAATAGCATCTTCCCCCGAGCCTGCTCTCCACCTTACTCTACCATGTTCCCCTGCTCAATGATGGGAGCCCTACTAGCCCCCCGGAAGCGCCCAGTTCTCCTTCCTCCCTTTATCACACCCTCACACCACATTCACTCCCCCCAGGCTGCAAGCTCATGCCTTCTGACATCTGCAGTCCAGGACACTAGCAACTCTCTTGCCGCCCACCAGTCACTCCCCACGCTGCAAGCAAGTTTCTATCCACAAATATCTGATCACCTGCAATCTTGCTGGAAGCCCCTGTCAGGGGCTCCCTGGGGCTCTAACCCCCAGAGACCAGCCTTAGCCCCCCTCTTCCCTCTTGCACACATACCCACTGGGAGTTCCCTGAACACACCTGGCTGTTTTACACCTACATGCAGGGGCAGGCTCTCTTCCCCATGCCTCCATGGTCTGCTGAACTCTGCTCATTCTTCAGATCCCTGCCTGGTGAGCTTCCTCCCTCGCTCTTTCAAGTTGCCCGGACCCTCCTCTCTGGAACAAGCTCCTCTCTCCCCACCTCTCCTGCACTAGTTCTGCAGGGCATCCAGGATGTCTGTCCAGAACTTAACCCAATTAATAGCAATTATGTGTGCAAGCCTCGCTTGGAACATTCTTCCCCCAGGTGTCTGCAAGGCTGGCTCCAGCACCTTCCTCGAGTTCTATCAAGTGTCAGGATGATCTTGGGGAACCTCAGCTTACGGTCATGTGCTACATAACCACGTTATGGTCAATGACAGACTGCATATACAATGATGGTCCCATAAGATTATAATGGAACTGAAAATTTCTATTGCCTACTGATGCCACAGCCATCAGAGCAACTTCCAGTCCTGCAAGCTCCACTCATGGTAAGTGCCCTATACAGGTGTACCTTTTCTATGTTTAGAAACACAAACACTTACCCTTATGTTACAGTTGCCTACAGGATTCAGCACAGTAACATGCCGTACAGGCGTATAGCCTACGAGTGACAGGCTATACCATACAGCCTAGGTGTGTAGTAGGCGATATCATCTAGGTCTGTGTAGGTGCACTCGATGATGTTCCCACAATAAAATCACCTAACAACGCATTTCTGAGAATGTACGCCCGTTGTTAATTGTTAATCAGAGCATGACTGTACACTGTACTTACAGGTGAATTGGGGACCTTAGCAATGCCTGCCCCCCAGCAGGTCCCAGCAAATAGCATCTACCATGTTCCCCTGCTCAATGATGGGAGCCCTACTAGCCCCCCGGAAGCGCCCAGTTCTATTTGCTGGGAGATGTTGGGAGGAATCAACAGGATGCTCAGCCTAGTGATGGCACAGACTGATGGCCTAGTGACTGAGGAGTACCAGGGCTTCAGGAGCAAAGCAGCCCTGAAAGTCAGCACAGTTGTGTGAATGTGCCCTGTTCTGGGAAGCCACCCTGGCACTTCCCTTGGATCTTAAACAGAAGCTAAAAATCTGTCTTCTAGACTCACATCAGTTTCCAGGATAATCTCCCATCGCGGAACTGGATAGAACTTCCCCATCACTGGGGGCGTGAGAGATGAGGGCGTGCCCGCCCCTCTCAGAACCACAGATTCCAGAGGTCACCCCAGCCTCGGGTCAGGCAGCCCAATCAAATCCCATCATGGGCTGGAATCCTACCCCTGCTCCTGGAAAGTGACTTAGGAGCCTCCTCTCCCTTAGGGCACAAGCAAATAAACAGTCCAGAGAAGGCCAGGACTTCCCCAAGGTCACCCAGCACTGGAGGAACAGAGCTGGGGAGACAAGCTAGCTAGGCGTCCAGACCTCAGGCCCAGATGGTTCTCGCTTTCTGACGCATGGGGAAGGAGCGGGAAGGACTATCCAAGGCTAACATGCGGGTCAAAGTCCCCACTCACACAGAGGCGCTGGGTGTCAGATGGTGATGAGCGTGGGTCAGTGTCACTACACAGTTCCCCCAAGGTGAAGGAACCCCGGGCCTTTTCAGGGCCCCCCTCAGCTGCCCCCCTTCACCTCCCCAGCAAAATGAGAAAGGAAGCGGCTAATTGCGTGTGGTCACGAGGAAAGCCTAACAATGGGAGGCAGGGAGCCGGCTCCCGAAGCAGGCCCCAGACCCACAAAGGTAGGGCCCCGAAAGCGCCGCAGCTTCACCTCCCGAGCGCTCACCTGTTGGAGGCCGGCCAGCAGGCCGAGCAGCAAGGTGGGCGAGAGCCCGGGGACCCTGGCGTCGCACATCCTGGCGCGGGGGCCGCGAGCTTCCGTGTGCGGGGACCCGGGGCGAGGCGGGAGGGGCGGGGCCGCGACCTCTCCCACGTCCCTCCACCTATGGGGTCCCGCCTCGGGGTGGGGGTGGAGCTTCTGCGCCCGGCTGGGCCGGCCTTGGGGCAGGGAGGAGGCGGGAAGGAGAGGGGAAGGAGTCCGGGTTGGGTTTTGGGAATGGGGAGCAGACGAGATTAATTGGAAAAAATGGTGGGGTCCGTTCCAGACGGCTCAGCGACCCCTTCCCAACCCCCAACTACTGCTCCACGCCCAGGTGGCCCCAGGCTTAGGGGAGGGAGTGCGGCGCCCACGGGCAGAGAGGATGCGGGCGGGGGGAGCCGGGCCCCTCGAAGTCCCTTCCCACCTGGCCTTCTGGGGGGCAGAGGTTGAGGAGAGGAGGATGTTCCCGAGTGGGCTGAGGGGACTGTATGGGACAGGTGTCACGCCCCTGGAGAGGCGGCCTGGCTGAGTCGTGGTGAAGGAAGACCAGGAGGACACCCCTGGTCCGCCCGCGTCCCCCCACCTCCCTTGAAATCCTGGGAGGAGGTGTTGGTACTTCCTCCTTTTGACTACGCGGGGCAATGAAGGCCCCAGAGTTCAGAGGTTTGCCACGGGGTCCGCAGCGGGGCTGAGCGGCAGCGGGCGAGGTTCCGCGCGGGCGAGCAGGTCCGTCCGGATTCCCGGAAAGCCCCGCGCCCGGGTCGCAGCCGGGGGGCGGGATTCCCTCCCGCCGGCCGCGCCCGGCCCTCCAGACGTGCTGTGCTCCCCGGGCCTGGCCAGGAGGTGGCAGCATCACTCAGCCGGGGATTTTCCGGGAGCGGTGGCCGCGCGGCTGGGACTCGGACCTGGGGCTGCGGCTCCCGAGCTGCCTCCCCCGGAGCTGGCCGGGGGGCGGGCTGGGAAGCCGTCTGGGCGGCGATAGGCGCGGGAGGAGAGCCAGACGCCCGGGCTCGGAGGAGCCCCGGGGAGACAGTGCGGGAGCTGGAGAGATGGAGCCGGACGCCTGGGCACGGGGCGCAGTGGAGCTGAGCGGGGCGCTGCTCTTTGGCCTGGGGAGAGGGGTAGGGCTCCAGGAGATGCTCAGTTCTTAGGTTGTCACACGTCTCCTGCGGTGTCTCAGTCTGATCTTGCCCCTGGAAAATATCCCCGCGTTGGTAGGAAAGGACAGCCCGTCTCCTCTGGCCCTTTTTCTCGCTCTCACCCCTTTCTCTTTCCCTCTTTTTCTCATCTCTCCCGGTCCTGCTCTCTCTGTTCTGTTTACCCTTTTTCTCATTTCTCCCAGTCCATCTTCCTGTTTCAGTTTCTCCCTATCTCTGTCTCCACTCAGTTCCTCTCCATTTCTCTGTGTTTCTCCTTTCTTCTGTTTGTTAATCTGTTTGTCTCAGCCCGGGAATCTGTTTTTCTCTGTTTCCATTTATTTCCCTGTGTCTGCTTTGGTCCTGTCTCCCTGTCTGTATATGTGTTTTTCTCAGCAATTTCTTGGTCTCTCTCTCTCCCAGGATCTCTCTCCCTGGTCTCTCTCTGTTCCCCCTCCTTCCCTGTCTCTGTTTCTCATCATATCTTGGCCCTTTTTGGCCCCAAAGGACAGAATCTTACAATTTCCTGATCCAAGTAGAATTGGGGTCTGGCCCTAGAAAATTGGGGTCTGGCCCTAGAATTGGGGTCTGGCCCTCTCTATTCTCATTTCCTGGTGATGCTGAGCTTGGAGAAGGGAATGTACATGAGGTGGGGGCACCTCTTCCCTCATCACCTGGACATTGCCTCTGGACCCAGCCTGCCCCTCTGCTAAAGGGGACCTAGTCCAGAGTGCTGGAGCCTTCTCCCATCACTGCCCATTCTGCTGCCTCCTTGGTGAAGCTGTTGCTAACTTGGACTTCTAAGGCCCTTCCATCCCTGCCCTGGCCTCACTGTGTCAACACTCAAGGCAGTGAGGGGAGTATCTCTACCATCCCCCCTGCCACCCTGCCCAGGCCTAGAGCCCTACAGAGGTGTAGCCCTTAGAGGAGAGAAAGATAGGTGAGTTTAGGGGAGGATGGTATCCTGGGGAGTAAAATGGGGGTGCATAAGAGGACATGGAGGAATTTGTGGGGTAGACATTGGAGAGCTGAAGAGAAGGGACCAGGTAGGCACCAGTGCCCAGGGATGGGCAGGAGGTTGGCATCATTCCCCTCTGGCTTTCTGGCATACACCTGACACAGATTTAGGGTTGCCAGACAAAATAGAGGACACCCAGTTATATTTGAATTACACATAAAGAATAGATAATATTTTTAGCATGAATATGTCCCATGCAAAATTTGGGATATACTTATACTAAAATTTATTTGTCTTTTATCTAAAATTGAAATTTAACTAGGTGTTCTGCATTTTTATTTGTTAAATCTGTCAATGTTACCCACATCCCTAAAATGTCATAGAACAAATATTTGAGAAGAGCTGCTCCACTCATTGGCCCACCTCTCCCCAATGGGAAAGTAAGGCTCATGGAGCAGAGTCCAGAGGGCCTCTGGACCCTGCCTCTGGGTCCCCAGTTTTTTTTTTTTGTGACACAAAACTGCCCTTCTATGCTGCTTCCTGCAAATGGGGGTGGGGGAGGGGCCTGGAGGTGGGTGGTCCCAGCCCAGGCCAAGAACACTAAGCCCTGTTGTCAGCATCCATCATGGCTCCCAGGGCCCCAGCATTCTTAGTGGGTGAGGTCTGGTGGGGGTGGGGGCAGAGTGGGGCCCCAGACTGAGCAGACAGGGGGCTGTCTTGTGTAGAGGCAGGAGTGTCCTGGACAGAGCCAACAACTTCTGTTCAACACTTAATCTGGTAGGGGAGGGCACTGTGTGCATGGATGCATGCATGCACTTGTGTGCTCAGGCATCCAGGTGGCAGGGAGGCCCAGAGATCTCATGCAGTCAGTGGGTCCCTCTAGATTCCACACCAAATTCCGTCTGGGATTTCCCAAGAGCAGCAAAGTCCAAATGTCTTCATACTCGCTTGCCACTTTCCCAGCCCCTTCACTAAAGAACGAGCTGATTGTCTGTGCATCCTGCAAGGCCCCAGCTGGAAGGGCCTGGGAGGTCAGCTAGTCCACCAGCCCTTTCTCAGAGAAGCCAACTGGAGCTCAGAGGGGTGGGAAGGCCAAGTCACATGGGACATTGGGGCTGAGTCAGGACCAGAACCACACAGGTCTTGAGACCGACCCCATGCCCAGAGGCAGCCTCAGGAGGCAGCTGCTGCTCCGGATGGAGGAATCCTCACTGGGGGCCTTGTGCAGCCTGACTGAGCCCAGCCCAGGCTCTGGATGAGGCAAAGAGCCAGACCAAGTTCTGTTCCTCTCAGCCCCGCTCCCCACCATACTGTGGTAGACACTCATATCCATAATGGCTTATGGCTCTGGGCTGGGATCTTTCTTTTCAAAGCCCATAGAACATTCTGCTCTAGCCCAGCTCTGCCTGGAGGGACAGTATTCTGTCATGTTGATAAGTGTGCCACTTACTATGTGGGACCTTAGTCAAGAAACTTAACTTCTCTGTGTATCTCAACTCACCTGTGAAGGGTGGTGGTGGTGGGGGATAACCTACTTTATCACATGGGGTCATTATGGGGATGAAATAAGCCCCTCAGTGTCTGGAATACAGTAATGGTAAATAACTGTTAGTTTACTGATAATATGCAATAAATGTTTTGTTCCTGCCAGAGAAAAGAAGCCCAAAAGTTCCTTCTCTGTATTTCACTTACAGGCAGAGTGAGGTGACAAGGAATTAAGGATTTGCTTCTCTCTGAGAACGGCTCTTCCCAGAATGCTGGCTCACTAGCCCCCTCTGCTGTCCACTCAGAGCTCTGCATGCTCCAAAGGCCAGGTCAGAGACCACCAGAGACCTATCTCAAATGGTTACTTGGCATTCACCACTCTTCCTAGAGAGCCACAGGGGCTCTGGATGTAACAGTGGTGCTTGGACCAGAGACATTTGATCAATTCCTTCTGTTTCTGGTTTGTTCCCCCTCCCCCATTCTGCTGCCCCACTGCCTGCTGAGCACTGCCTGGGTTGGCCTCATGGTGGGTGCCCACCTCTCTCTCAGGCTGAGCATTCAGGGGGACTGGGGACTCTGCCTGTCACAGGTGTCCCCGCTGCCACTGCTTCCATGCAGTGTGGCTCCCCAGGGCCATCACAACCATCTTCATAAGGCCTCCAGCCTAGTCTCCCCATTGCCCATGTTGGGGCATGTCACTTTCTTGCTCTTTAATTTCCAGAGGCTCCCCACTTCTACCTGAATAAGTTCCATCTCAGGGAGACCTCAGGGTCCTTGAGAACCAGCCCCACCTGGCTTTGCAGTGTGCTCTCTCTGCCCTGCCCACATGTTCTCCAGCCACACACCTGACCCTTTCTGTTTCCTCCCTTCCTCAGCTTGGGTAGCTCTCTCCACTTAGCACACATGTCCCCAGACCCCTCCCTGAAACCTACCAAATTTTCACCCCATCCTTCAAGGCTCAGCTCAAATGCCGCCTCCTCCAGAAAGCCTTCTAGGACTTGGATCTTCCTGTAAGAAGTGACTGATCCCTCCCTGCTCATCCCTACCCAGGCCTTCTCTCCCTAGAAGATGTGTGTACATGTCCTAATGTTTCCACCAGGCTGCGGGGGCTGGCCCAGTTCTGATTCAGCTTTCATTTCCCCATGGTGCTTTGTTCCAAGTAAACACTAGCTGTTGTCACTGAATTGAAGCTGGTTTGGGACCTCCCTGAGGTCAGGGGCCAGGTTTCTCCAGGAGGATAGGGAATGAATTCCTAAAGTCCTTGGTGGGGGAGGTTGTCAGTTGCGGGGGGAGTTGTTCCTGACTGACTGGCTCCTCAACTCCACTGGCTGTGTTGTTTGGGGAATCCACCTCTTCTGCTTCCTGCCCCTCCCAACTGTACAACACCCTCCTAGTGTGTCAAATGGCTCCCTGGGGATCCAGCAGCTCCTACGGGTGAGCTGCAAGGAATGCTTGGC